CCCCCCCCCGGTCCACGTGGGAGCGCCGCGCGCGCGCCCATTGTCCCCGCGCCGGGCACGCGGCGTGACGTCACGATGCCGCCCGGCCGTTTCTGATTGGTCGCCGCGGTTTCCAAGAAGGGAGGGGGGCGACTTCCGGTTACCACCACGTGGAGAAGAGAGAGAGAGACTGAGAGCGCGCGGCGGACGGGGCCGCGGGGGTGCGCTGCGCGCTTCCGGTCTGTGCCGGAAGTGAAGGGTTGAAGGCCTCACGCGGTGTTTCCCGCTCAGCCCCCGCGATAATGGACCCGAGGGGATGGACCCCGACGGCGTCATCGAGGTGAGGCGGCGGAGCCGGAGCCTGAAGCGGGGCGGGGAGCGGTGGGACGCGGGCGGGGATTCGAGGGCCCATCGAGAACGAACGCGGACTGAATCGCCTCCGGTCCAACAGCGCCGGGGCGGAGCGAGGCCTACGTGAGGCCTTCCAGCGAGCTCAGCGGGGCACTGGGGCGGACTGGGAGGGATTGGGGCCGAACTGGGAGCACTGGGAGGGAAATGGGGCTGCAGTGCGGATACGGGGAGAGCTGTGGAGCCGAACTGGGAGCGCTGGGATGGAACTGGGAGCGCTGGGAGGGAGCGAGGCCCACGAGAGGCTGGGAGGAGGGCAGAGCTTCACTGGGGGACTGTGGGCGTACTGGGGGGCTGTGGGGGGTCTGGGGTCTTTGGGGGGGGCGCTGGGTGGCTAGTGGGAGCACTGGGATGGAACTGGGAGCACTGGGAGCTGGCTGGTAGAACTGGGATGGAACTGGGAGCAATGGGAGGGACTGGGAGCACTGGGAGGGGCGGGGGAAGACTTGAGGGGGGAGATGGGCTATGAGGAGCTCAGAGCTTCATTGGGGGGCTGTGGGGGTTAATGGAGGGTTATGGGGGGGTACTGGGCGGCTACTGGTGTTACTGGGAGCTGGAACTGGCGCTGGGGGCTGACGGGGAGCGGCGCTGTGGCGCAGAGCAACTGGAACGAGATCGTGGACAGCTTTGACGACATGAACCTGTCGGAGGCGCTGCTGCGCGGCATCTACGCCTACGGCTTCGAGAAGCCCTCGGCCATCCAGCAGCGCGCCATCCTGCCCTGCATCAAAGGTCCGGCGCCGCACAACGGCCCCAAACCGCCCCAAAACGGCCACAGATGGCCCCCAAACGGCCCCCAAATGGCCCCAAACGGCC